TTGTGTACATGGACACCCAAATCCCTTTGCTCTTCCACAGTTCTTAGTTTCTTGCCATTTAGAAGATAATCTGTTTTGCTATTTTTGGGTCCAAAGTTGATGACCTCACACTTTCCCACATTGAATTCCATTTGCACTGTTTTGTCAACTCACTTAATTTGTCTAAAACACTTTCTTCAGGAGATAAAAATTGGTTGGATAAGGACCTCTGGTGACTAATTTGGTTAAGTAAATGTTTTTCCAGTGTGGTACTATGTCATATAGATCTAAAGGCTGTCAGATTCAATCCCTGGCATTTGCTGAGTGAACTGGTCTCAGTGGTGATGTTGCAATCGCCCCCAAAACACACAGTCACTACACTTGACAATATATCCTGTGAAGCACTTTGAGACATTTTCCTCATGTGAAAGATTCTATACCAAATATAAGGATTGTTATTATTAGTATTATTAGTGCAATTAGCCCCAGTGTCTCTGGATTAGGGAATTATAGGATTAGTGTCCAAACAAATGCCATTGAATAAGTAGCAACTACTCAATGTCTAGGCTCATACGATGCATAGCCAATTCAGTGCGATTTGGTAGGATGCACATCACCTGTGGAACTGTACTCTAACACGAGTCAGCGTCCCTGGCAGAAAAGAACAAATAATTCAAAGAGAATAAAACCAAAAAAAAAAGTGATTAAAGACCTTGACAGAGTGGACCGTAAATGGTTTGTGAAGGAATAGGTTTGATAGGGGTGGACTTGCCTTTTCTTATTGCATACTCTCTGATGTTCTGATGTGGCTTAAGTTGACATCGTGTGGTTCCTCTTACAATCCAACACCGATGTGGTTGGTGGATGATGTGGTGGATGAGAGTAGGAGTGTGTTTGCTGAGTGTAGTGGTAAAGCACAGCATCAAGAAAATAAGGCAAACGTATCCCCCCCACACACACACACATAGAAACTGTATTGTCACACCTATTAAATTGTTGCTACTATTCCTTCCCCTCCCTCCTGCACTTTTAAAACCCACCTACAAACCCATCTCTTCGACTGGTACCCTCGTCCGCCACACTCCGTCCCCACCTCACACGCAGCTCAGGCATCTCTGCTGAGTCTCTGTGTGTGTGTGTGTGTGTGTGTAAAAAAAACTTGCAGACACTTTCCCAAGTGAAAGGTGCTGTTTGTTGCTGCTGTTTTAAGGGCAATTTGTTGCTGCTGTTTATCCGCAAACATCAAGCCTCCTGCACTAAAATGCACTGCATATCATTTCTACTGACCTTAACTCCAAACGACTGCTGCTTGTCCACAGCCCCTGAACATAGTTGCCCTCATTTGAACCCCCCCCCCCCCCCCCCACCCCCAGTGGGACTAGAAACTCTCATCACTGCTAATCTTGCGGACGGGACTCCCAGAGACAGATCACAACAGCCCCACCCGTCAGTTTATCGGATCCCCGGTGTAGAGTTGATGGGCAGTGTATTGCTGTTATGATTTCCATAACTGGCGACACGGCGATTGTTATGCAAAATGTGCTTTTTCATGTGGTTTTCACACACCGCTTATTGTTTGCGGCATTGTCCGGGAGGGCTGTTAGAGGGTGAAAAGCAAACACCCGCAAGTCGTAATGTGACAGGAGAGGGGGCGGCTCGGGAGCATCTCTCTGTGTGTGAGTGTGAGTGTGTGTGTGGTGTGTGTCTCTCTCTCTGTGTGTGTGAGTGTGTCTGTGTGTGTGTGTTTGTGTGTGTTTGTGTGAGTGTGTGTCTCTCACTGTGTGTGTGTGAGTGTCTCTGTGTATGTGAGTGTCTCTGTGTGTGAGTGTGTCTGTGTGTGTGTGTGTTTGTGTGTGTTTGTGTGAGTGTGTGTCTCTCACTGTGTGTGTGTGAGTGTCTCTGTGTATGTGAGTGTCTCTCTGTGTGTGTGTGTGTGTGTGTGTGTCTCTGTGTGTGTGTGTGTCTGTGTGTGTGTGTGTCTCTGTGTGTGTGTCTCTCTCTGTGTGAGTGTGTGTGTGTGTGTGTCTCTGTGTGTGTATGTGTGTGTGTGTGTCTCTCTGTGTGTGTCTCTCTCTGTGTGTGTATGTGTGTCAGTGTGTCTGTGTGTGTGAGTGTCTCTGTGTGTGTGTGTGAGTGTCTCTCTGTGTGTGTGAGTGTCTCTCTCTGTGTGTGAGTGTGTCTGTGTGTGTGTGTGTGTGTGTGTGAGTGTCTCTCTGTGTGTGAGTGTCTCTCTGTGTGTGTGTATATGTGTGAGTGTCTCTCTGTGTGTGTGAGTGTCTCTCTGTGTGTGTGAGTGTCTCTCTCTGTCTGTGAGTGTGTCTGTGTGTGTGTGTGTGTGAGTGTCTCTCTGTGTGTGTGTCTCTCTGTGTGTGTGAGTGTCTCTCTCTGTGTGTGAGTGTGTCTGTGTGTGTGTGAGTGTCTCTCTGTGTGTGTGAGTGTCTCTCTGTGTGTGTGAGTGTCTCTGTGTGTGTGTGTGAGAGAGAGAGTGAGTGTGTGAGTGTGTGTGTCTGTCTCTCTCCCTGTGTCTGTGTGTCTGTCTGAGACATATCCCTGAGCCTGGCTCACACACCACACAGTCAGATACTGTCCTCACACCCGCTGTCTCATCCTTGGGGAAATATGACGAAATGTTGGAAACACTCGCACGCCCACAATAACACATTCATTTACACTCCAATGGGACCGTATTGAAATGTTTAGATCACTGACTTCTGATTATAGCAGATTTAGATGTCCCCCCCCACTCCCCTCCCCTGAACCCACGAGTTTTTTTTTGTGTGTCAGAAGCTGGATCCGTTCATCATTTTAAATATATATATATTTAGCCTTTTTAACACATTTCCTGGATTTCTCAGTCTGGTCAGTCGATAAAATCGTGAACTGCACTTTTCAACTTAAAACCATTCAATTTGCTGACATTTCCAAGTCTGATCTTACAAAACGTGCATTGATTATTGTCACTATTGTTGATGATAATAATAACAATAATAATAATAATAACAACAACAACATCGGTGGTTAAACAAAAATACCCCTTTTTTCGTGGTTTTACAATAAAAACTCAAGGGATGCATTTTTTTTTCAATTCTTTTATTGCCAAATGGCACCATTCAGGAATAGATATGAAAACTACGTTATAGAAACCAGCTCGTTGTCTCAACCACAAAATATTCTGACCTAGGCAAAAAAACACAATTAGAAACCCTGAAAAAGACGATAATCTTTGGATGTCAGTTTGATATGTCCATTTTTTTTTGTTTGTTTTTCGTTTTTTACAAAATCCGCGCACTTCAGGGGTGCAAAGCAGAGATTGGAGGTGGGGAGGGGGGCAGTTAATAGAAATTCAGTTTTTGGTTCTATTTCAAAGGGAAAGATAATCCCAGATTATTATTATCAATATTATTAATATTATTAATATTTCTGTCGACGTTTAAATGATATGAATCCATGGAATAAACGCTTGTAAAATTGTTGCAAAATCTAGGATTTCTTCTCCTTTGTTATACCGTGTTCAAAACTGCAACCTTCTACCAAAAATAAGCATTTTATACAACAGCAAATCGCCACAGAGACCTTAAACGGTTCTTTTTTTCTTAAAAAATAAATAAAAGCATGAAGTGCGTGTGCTCGACTATCCAAGAATTAAGCAACAAACTCATTGCACCAAATATTTAAATACGTGAAAACAAATAAAACCGTTTTTTTTTCTTCTCTTTTTTTTTGCTAAATATTGCTAATTATATTAAAAGAAAAGAGGAAGAAAGTCTAGCCTTGAGAAACAAGTGCAACCAATACAAGAGACGGGAGAAAGAAAACAACACTGACAAGAAAACCAGGAACAAGCGAATAAATCAAAAAGAAAAATCATTTCAGAAATGGAAAGCTCTCTCTCTCTCTCTCTCTCTCTCTTTCTCTTCCTGTCTCCTCTCTCTTTCTCAGGAGTTCTCCAGCCATAAAAATAAAAGGATAGAAACATGTAAACACCCGACTGAGAACAGATGGCACACACACACACACACACAAAAAAAAACATACCCATGGGGGACAAAACGTCGATATAAAAATAAAAATTCAAAATAAAATAGAAATATACTAAGTATCAATACGCACATTTATAAAAAATAAAATCAAATATAAATATTACCGCACCCACTAACACACTTTAAGGTCACAAACAGATTTTTTTGAGAAAAGTTCCATTTGTCTTTTTTTTTGGAGACGGTGGCACTTGGACAGCTTGTTCAGACTTTATCTTTTTTACTTGTTTGTCAGTTTGGGCTTTTTCTCTCTCTCTCTCTCTTTCTTTTCTTCTTTCTTTCTCTCTCTTTCTCTCTCTTTCTCTTTCAATTTGATCTCCACTGTTTTCGTTTCCTTATTCTCTCTCTGTGTGTGTGTGTCTCTCTCTCTCTGTGTGAGTGCGTGTGTGTGTCTCTGTGTGTGTGTGTGTGTGTCTCTCTGTATGTGTCTGTGTGTCTGTGTGTGTGTGTGTGTCTGTGTGTGTGTGTCTGTGCACTCGTGTGTGTGTCTCTGTGTGTGTGTGTGTCTCTGTGTGTGTGTGTATGTGTGTCTGTGTATGTTTGTGTCTGTGTGTGTGTGTGTGTCTGTGTGTGTGTGTGTGTCTCTGTGTGTGTGTGTATGTGTGTCTGTGTATTTGTGTCTGTGTGTGTGTGTGTCTGTGTGTCTGTGTGTGTGTCTGTGTTAGTCTCTGCGTATGTGTGTGTGTGTCTGTGCACTCGTGTGTGTCTGTGTGTGTGTCTGTGTCTGTGTGTGTGTGTGTCTGTGTCTGTGTGTGTGTGTGTGTGTGTGTGTCTCTGTGTGTGTCTGTGTATGTGTGTGTGTGTGTGTCTCTCTGTGTGTCTGTGTGTGTGTCTGTGTCTCTGTGTGTGTGTGTCTCTGTGTGTGTGTGTGTGTGTGTCTGTGTGTGTGTCTGTGTCTGTGTGTCTCTGTGTGTGTGTCTGTGTGTGTCTGTGTGTGTGTGTCTGTGTGTGTGTGTGTGTTTCTCTCTCTCCCCCCCCCCCCCCTTTCTTTGCTTTGCCCTCACCGACCGCCCCTATTAGACATCCAGGACATGGTTCAGGTAGGAGATGTAGCAGATGGCCAGGCGGAGGATCTCGATTTTGGAGAGTTTCTTATCCGGTGGGAGAGTCGGAAGCAATTTACGAAGTTCTGCGAAGGCCACGTTAAACGCCTCCACTCGGATGCGCTCCCGGGTGGCGTGAGCCGTGCGGTACTTGGCGGTGGCTCTCCGCCGACGGCGCTTCTCCTCCCGGCTCAGTGTCTGCTGCACCCCCCGCTTGCCCTCCGCCTCCTCCGGCTTGTCCCGCATGCAGCCGCCCCGGGCGTCAGACAGCACCGACTCGGTCTCGGATGAGCTTGGGTTCAGGTCCAGGTCAGTCTGATCTGAGCTCAACATCCCGGCGAACAGGGGCTGAACTGGACTGGTACCTGGAGGAGAGGAGGGGGGGGGGGAGGGGAGGGAGGGGAGGGGGGGTGGGGGTGTGGGGGGGGGGGGGTGGGGGGGAGGACGCAGGAGGGGATGGGAGAGGAGAGGAGGGGGAGAGAAGGAGAGGAGGGGAGAGGTGAGGAGGGGAGAGGAGAGGTGAGGAGGGGAGAGGAGGAGGGGAGAGGAGAGGTGAGGAGGGGAGAGGAGAGGTGAGGAGGGGAGAGGAGAGATGAGGAGGGGCGATGAGGAGGGGAGAGGAGAGATGAGGAGGGGAGAGGAGGAGGGGAGAGGAGAGATGAGGAGGGAAGGAGAGATGAGGAGGGAAGGAGAGATGAGGAGGGGAGAGGAGAGATGAGGAGGGGAGAGGAGAGGAGAGAAGGAGAGGAGGGGAGAGATGAGGGGAAAGATGAAGATGAAGTGGGGGGGGGGGGGGGAGGAGGAGTGAGGAGCGGAGATGAGGGGAGAGATAAGGAAGGGAGAGGAGAGGAGGGAAATGCACAGAACAGGGGGAGAGAAAGAGAGAGCGAAACAACTCGAGATTTAATCTGAAATTAATCCAAACCACACAGATGCAAAGCAAATCTAAAAAAAAAGTCATCAGGTGCGAAATAGCTAAAGTTAAAAGGAATGAGGATCGATATGTGCAGAGGTCTGTTCATAAGTCTCTCCCCCCCAAAAAAAAAAATCAGTAAAAATTGTAAGCGCATTTATTACAGATCTCTCCAGACAATATCTGAAAAGTGTTACTATAAGAGTGAGACTCTGGGAGAAGGAATACACACGTTTACCAAATAAAAGCCTTGAAACAAAGCAAAAACAACAGGGAGAAATATGAAAGTAAAGGCTTAAGTCCGGCCAGAAAGTAACGCATTCAAATCATTTAATCTTCTTATCCAAATCTTCAATTCTTGTATTTAATTCTATCTCCCTAGTTATCTACCCTCTCTCTCTCTCTCTCTCTCTCTCTCTCTCTCTCTCTCTCTCTCTCTATCTATCTATCTATCTATCTATCCATGGACCGATCGATCTATTATATTAAATACCTTTCCTTTGTATTCAACTATTACGTCTATCAATGCGAATTCGTATGCTCTGTAATAATCCATCCAGACTCTCTGATTTTTTCCTCTTCTTCACAATTTATATGTCTATCTATCTCTGCATCTTTCTATCCATCTATCTATCTGGATAGTTACATGTTATCTGTGGCCGTGTCAATCTAATCTTCCTTTACAGCTGTTTATATTTCCAGGGCTATCGATTCGTGGCTGTATAGTTATTACTCAAAGGCCTGCAGGATGTTGTATTGGTAATAGGTATTAAATGAGTTTATTAGAAAACCTTCTCCCAAATTAAGACAAAGGCTTTGTTCGCCAGTATTCCTGAGATGTGACCGGCAGCAATCGATGTTTGCCCGCGTAGAATATTAATTTATTATCATTTCATTTGGAAGCGAGCCGGGATGAAAGGAGAGACAGACTTAGGCACCATCTGTCACCCGGAAAAGCAGACTGCAGGGACATCCTCGCACAATGTACATCAAGTGTAAAGTAAACTGGGCCAGAAGAGAGAGTGAAATATATATATATGTTATATATATAAATGCATATATATATATATATATATACACACATAATCGAGCAAAGCATTAACACCTCTGCAGGCACGGAATGCACGGGGACCACACATACACACACAGCCTGCAATTATAACTAAATATCAAATCATAGGAAAAATGACAAACCCTCCAGACAATAAATACGCCAAGTACACCAACTAACATATCCACACGGCCAGACACAAAAGAGGAAGAGGGACAGCAGCAGAAATCAAAGGAAATCAAATTGGACCGAACCAGTGAAGAAACAATGTACGTCTGGATTGCACAAGGCACACACTGAACTCACTGACGAGCAAAGCAAAGCACATATCCAAAGCATCTCGAAATCTTGGAAACATCGATAGATTCAGAGGTAAGATTGCTAAAGAGGTAGTGAAATGAACAGTAAAGAAACAAGCCAAACAAATACCCTCAACCCGCCAGAACAAACACACAATAATAAAACCATATCTGACATCAGATTACAGGAACACGATTGCTGATAAAGTTAATTCCTTCTTTTAACGAGTTGGCGTTTTTTTTGCATTTCTTTTCAAGCCATGAATCAGGGGTCGCGTTTACTCTTCCAAAATGTGTTTACACAGCGCCAGAAATTTTTTTTTAAAAAAGGAATCTACATCCACATACAAAACGTATGTATGTTCTCTCTTGCAACAATTTTTTTTCCCTTTTGTAAATTGTACTTTTGTGAAACAGGAAAAAATAATTCTTACCAACACACGAGACAATGTTCAAATCCGTTGGAATGGAGCAAACTCCGACTTTTTTTATATTATATATATATACAAAAAAAAGGGATTCCAATGAACAGCAATTGTTTTCTCTCTCTCTCTCTCTCTCTCCTGACGATCTTATCTGAGTCCTTTATCGGAAAATCAACCCTGCGGATCCTGGCATTTTGTGTCGGTCGGTTTACAATCTCTGATCTAAAGGACAAGGGTTTAATCACAAAAAAATGTCCTTTGAATCTCCGATCCCAGTGAAAAGAGTTTGGTCGTGTGTATGTGTGTGTGTATGTGTATGTGTGTGTGTGTGTGTGTGTGTGTGTCTGATCGCAACGATAAGAGTTTGATGTATAGAGCTATATATATATATATATATATATATATATGTATGTATATAAAAATGTCCTCTGCCTCTGATCGTGGCGATAAGGGCTGTTTCTCTCTGTCTTCTCTGTCTCTCTCTCTCTCTCTCTGATGGTCCTCTCTGATCTTACTGGAGATGGAGATGAGACAAGGGTTTGGCCAGGCTCGAGGGGTTGGGCTGGAATCAAATCCTCCTTTTAATGGAGCCCCTCCGATTGGAGAGAAATCTCCCCAGGAGTCACCTAATGGGATCCGACATCTGTCACAAACTCAGAATATTCACAGAGCAAACACATTCAACAGATTCATATCACAAATACAATACCGCAGATGCCAGTCCATTTTGAAATACAACCCACATCCATCAGTGCATGTGTGTGTGTGTCTGTGTGTGTGTCGTGATGGCAGTCACATAAACCAAATAGCAATATATTCTGCAATGTAAACCGGATTAAGGAGAAACGCACCGTGATCCCCAGTTTGATGTTTAACGTTCGTGCCACAAAAAATCCTATCGCATCAATTGTATCCCTTAATCCAAGATTTCAAAATAGGACATGGTGTTATTACACCAGAAGGCATGTGGCACGGATAGCCATGATTTTTTTTTTGGGGGGGGGGGGGGGGAAATCAAACGAATATTTGGCGGTTGTGTTATTCTACATATAAACACAGTTGAAACGGTGCAAGGTTAGGTGCAAGATGTGTTGCGTTTGTTGACCAAGTTTAGATGAATCCATTGAACAGGCGGAACATGAGACATAACACATTCATATCTTGCATCAGTATCACTCATTTGCACTGATGCTACGATTTCCTTACGACACGATGCTGTGTTTACGCAAACGAAAGGCAGATTACCTCTGAAGTAGCACTCAGATCGAAGGTAAATAAACGCCTCGTGTTATTAAACTCTCGCAAATTCGTAATAGTTCGCTGACGATTTGCATCGCACACGTTGCACTTGATATGAATACATCCCTATCCCACAGCAGTGAGCAAACGTTCAATCCCAAACTGATCCAAACACATCGCGTTGTGGCGTTTCAGGCAAACGATTTAAATCGCATTTGGTTGCATTCGTGCGCAAGACCTCAAGAGATTGTAAAACAGTTCACATTTATTTTTGTGCGTCGGCGTATTTAGGTGAGAAAAAGTGACTCGAACGCAAAACTGACCGCACTGTGTTATTGGGGCAAACATTAAACTCACCACTTGAATTGGAGTATTAAATAAGAATTATCTGCACATCCTTTTTTTTAAAAAAAAACAATCATGTCCCTAAACATCTCACAGAGGTGTGGGGTGGGGATTTTGAGGAAAGAAGTAATTCATTAATATTTCAGAACCTGAACGTTCAAATTATATCATGGTCTGGTCATCCACAACCCTTAAACCATATTCTCATAAGTGAATATCCCCTCTACTTTCTCTCACTCATTCAAAACGATCATGTAAACCAGATCCCCTTTTATCTTTAATTCCTCAAGCTGTAAAAAAATACCATGTTCACACTCAAACCATATTGTCACTTCACCTGCACCGCTTTACATTAACCTTCTCGCCTATTCCATTTGGCACTTGATCCCTACATTCATATCATCTACGTTTCCTATTTCAGCTACACCCCGCTTCATCAGTGCTCTCACATGTGCTATGTTTCTCCCAAATACTTCCCCTTCTGCTTCACACCTCTGAACACACACACACACACACACACACACACATGCAATACTTGCTGCATTCACATCCCTTTTAATGGCATTCGATGCACTTTTATCCACAGGTTCTCATATCCCGTTCACACCTATGCCACATGCATCTACGTACTGTATGGTACTCTCATCGGTCATGTTCTTGCAGTGTTGCAAATTCCTGCTGTAATTTATATATAGGATAATATTGTCTTACATTATCATTGTCAGTATTGTCATATTATCTCATATATAAGTCACATGATGAAATGAATGGCCAGTCAATTGAACTGGAGTGCCTATGGCCAGAGGTAGTTTGGTCTGTGTTTTAGACAATATATGATAGTTCAACATTTACTCAATCAGAATTGGTGAGGAGGGACATGCGGCTATAAAATCTCATCGCCCATCAAAAAAAAAACATGGAGCTGGTAGCTATGTTTCTGAATGCAAGTCAAGAAGAAAATCCTTAACAAACTAAATGGGTAGTGAAACGCATCCGAAGTAAGGAAATATTGCACCATAAAGTTAAAAAGAAATGACCTCAGGGAAAGGCAACTGTACAGTATCACAATATCTTTATTTTATGTGCGTTTTGCTCCCAAAATATATAGTCAATTTACTTTACAGTATATTCCATGAAGAGCTTTCAGACGTCTTGTAGACGTAATAAGGCATTATATCTAATGCAAGGATTATCATTAACTTTATTTTCTATAACAGACACGCAATAGCTCAAAAACCTGATCTCAGAATCTTAGCTGATATTACAATCATTAGAAAATATCCATAATTCATTTCTATTTATCCTTTAAAAAATATAGCATAATATTGTTAATTTCAGAATTATTTAACTTCAAAGGAATGAGTTCCTTATATGCACCACCTACACAGGGGACCCTTTGAAAGTAATGCTTAGTATCACCTACAAATTCACAGTCACTACACTTCATAGTAACATCCTATGAAGTGTTTTGACAATGTGATAAGGCTTGATGATTTCTCCTATAGTATGGATGGATCTTTATAATATTTTGAACATGATTTTTTTGAGGTCTTAAAATCTGATTGCGTGAAACTGAAATAAAGTCTGATCTCAATGGTTGACGGCTGATAGGAACATTTCCCCATGATGTTCAGGAACGCATTTCTTCATTAGACTCTCAGGGAATGTGAACCCAGGTATTGAATGTTGCATGTAGATCTTAGAAAGAATAATGAGACGCAACAGGTTGTAGACTACTACTACCCCAACCCCAACCTCCCCACACACACACAAAAGATCATTAAGAAGGACTATTGTCACAATCCCACCAAAGCAGGCAAACTGAAATATAACATTTTTGATTAACGAACCCAAACTGGGCTAATTCAGGTTTAAATACTTTGACAAACAGTTTAGTGCTCATTCCTAATGCTTGACTTCCTCTTCTAATATATCAGCATGTCATATGTCTCACACAGAATATCTTTACAATGACAAATTACAAATGAATTCATCATTTTCCATATACAGCAATGCAAACCAACAACAACTTGCATTTATACAGCGTCCTTCACACACAATATTGTGTCAGAACCAATCATTGCACCGCTTGCTATGTTAGTTCAATAGAAACCCTTAGAGAAAGAGAAGAGGAAATTCATATTCAAGAGTTACTGCTGGTAAGGAGCATGAAAAAGTTCTTCACTTTCATAATAATCCGCATGATAATTGATAACAAGAATTGCTTGTCAAGAATTTAAAGTGTCAGGCGTGTCCATTGCTAGCCTAAGAGGCGAGAATTAGCTTGGGTCAAGTGTTGAGGTTTAGCAGAAGAACTAATCACAGATGAGTGAACGAGTGGATGGGCAAAACGTTGACTGTACTTCAGAAATATACCTTTATCTCACCTTCAAAAATGCATCCCTCCTGGTGTACATGGATCTACACAATTTGAATGAGATTCCCAATTTAGGGCTCAACATTCCTAGTTTGGTTAAGAGTTGGAAATAAAATAGATTTGACAAAATTATTATGAAATTGTGTGAACGCCTGGATTTCCCAAATGTTATTGGTGACAAATCATATTTCCAATAGTGATAATAAAACACACCTGCCAATGACAAATCATCAGCAGTATTGGGAAATTGATGCTTCTAAAGCAGCTAATGAACCAATTGCATTGTACAAAATCGAATATTCACGGCAATACCATTGGCATCTGTAGTGGAGATCTCACTTACAAGGGTCATAGACAGAATAGGAACCTCTGATGAATGGTCTCATTGCTCCTTGCTATGGAAGCAAAGAGGTCAAGACTCCAAGATGCTGTCAATTCTCTTCGAGAATAGTTGCGGACAGCCATGATGAATGATTACGAAAGCTCACAGGTGCTCAACACTTCTGTGCTCGCACAGATCAGTGGGCATCTTGAGAAAATGGCATCAGTTAGTGGCAGGCGTGGAATTGCCCAGACACAGCTGGTTGGCACTTATACCAGCAGCAGGTCTGTAGCATCATGCAGCCTATGCAAATGAGAGTAGGCACTCAGACAACCGAGCCTACAGGGACTCTGCATCACAGACCCCTTGCGCTATCTAAACCCGATGTGCATAATAATAATAATCCTTGCGTAATATATAATCCACTGGGTTTAGATATAGATAAAAATAAAAGGCCTTCTGGATTTCTCTGCCCTTCCCCCCCCCACACACACATCTGCAGTTGGCAATACAACCATTTGTTTCGCCAGTGCTATCCTTCAAATTAGGAGAGCACCTGTTGGAACACACGCATAACCAACATGGAGAAATGTTCATATTAGAGCAATCACAGGAGCACACTATCAGGCACAAGCACTGCATAACAATATACTGATTTAGTGCTTCAAGTAAGATTTGTTAAGAATGCATATTCTACATTGGCTCAGTGTAATTGTTGATCGTCATCCTGTAGTCTTTGACCCCAGCTCGTGTAACCTTGACTAATGCCAACTCATGCAATTATGGCCTTTGCTGCTGATATTTGTTGATCATCTGGAGTT